ATGATCATTATAAGTATTTTTAATGTACCTAATTTTTTTGTGCGCTTGTTTACATTACAGCCTATAAAGTTGATGGTGTGACTGTGAAAGGATACACTGCAACCTCTCTAATGGATTCTTTTGAGTGGCTAAATGGGTACAATGTTGGATTTGGCCTGCACCACGTGGACTTCAGTAGCCCAAATCGGTCAAGAACACCCAAGTACTCAGCTCATTTCTATTATAACATCATAAAGGATAATGGTTTCCCATTGCCAGATGATGAGAAGGTACTTTATGGACATTTTCGAGATGATTTCATTTGGAGTACTGCCACAGCATCATACCAGGTACCCTAGATAAGGCCACTGCATATATATTGCAATGCTTACTCTATTTTCATTCGTTTCAAATTACTGTTTTATACTTATTCCTTTCAGATTGAAGGGGGGTGGAGAGCTGATGGCAAAGGTCTCAGTATTTGGGACAAGTTTGCTCACACTCATCTCCGAATCTCCAATGATGACAATGGGGACATAGCTTGTGACAGTTACAATAAAGTAGAAGAGGATGTTGCCATATTAAAGCAACTCAAGGTGACCCATTATCGATTCTCCATATCATGGTCAAGGGTCCTTCCTGATGGTACCACCAACTACATTAATGAGGCTGGACTCAATTACTACCACAGACTGGTGGATGCACTGATTGCTGCAAACATTCAGCCTCATGTATGTATAATTACAGCTAAAAGAACTGTACTAGAATTGGTAAATTCAATAACGTCAGTAAACCCTTTCCCTTTGCTTTCAGGTCACTCTGTACCACTGGGACCTTCCACAAGCCCTGCAGGATATTGGGGGATGGGAAAATGACACTATTGTTACCAAATTCAGAGATTATGCTGACTTCATCTTTGACAGACTTGGCCACAAAGTGAAATTTTGGATAACTATTAACGAACCCTACAATGTAGCCATGATAGGACATGGTTATGGAGTAGGTGCCCCAGGTGAGCTTTATGCTTTAGTATTCCTGGTTGTCTGCTTTATTTAACAAATAGGAATAGTACTGTTACTGAACATCCAAAACTGTATATAAGGACACCAAAATTGTTCAAAACAAAATCCTTGACCAAACCCTCAACAACAAAAAATATAAAGAGGCTGCAAATGTGTCTGTTTGTCTCCAGGGATCAGTTTCCGACCAGGTACTCTGCCCTACATTGTTGGTCACAACCTGCTTAAAGCTCATGCTGAGGCCTGGCATATTTACAATGACAAGTACAGGGCCAAACAGAATGGAATTATCTCCATCACAATTAACTCTGACTGGTCTGAACCCAGAAATCCTTATAAGCAAGAGGACTATGATGCTGCAATACGCGCCATTCAGGTACACCAGTTCTTCTTATATTTTAAAGCAATATGTCATAGTGGTTATTTCAAGTGTCTTTTGTGTGTCTTTTTGTGCAGTTCTACATTGGCTGGTTTGCCCATCCTGTATATAATGGCGACTACAATGACATAATGAAGACAGTCATTCGTGAGCGAAGCCTTGCTGCTGGTCTGTCAGAATCTAGGTATTCAAAAAACGACATTTAGGCCCCAAAAGGAAAATAAATATTTGCTACAAAGTTACCTTTAAAAGCAGCAGGACATTTTCACTTTTTTTGTTGTTTGGTCCTTTTTTCAACAACCACATAACCTGTTGGTTTCACTTCCATTTTCCAGGCTGCCTGAGTTCACTCCGGAGGAGGTTAAAAGAATTAAAGGCACTTATGATTATTTTGGGTTCAACTATTACACCACTGTCCTAACATTCCCTGTGGACTATAAGAACCTTCAGCACTATGATGGAGACAAGTAAGCAAACGTTAGATAAATATTAATAGAGTAATCTTTCATTTTTCTTCTAATAAAAGAAACCAACAGATTTAGCACAGCTGACTTTGTTCTCTGCTGTGGCCGTTTACTGAAATGTGAAATTTATTTCATTGTTTTACTCAAACTCAAAAATCTAACCTTTTTGATCTTCACAGGGGTGCAGGGTCAACTGTTGATCTCACCTGGCTGGATTCAGGTTCAGGCTGGCTGAAAGTCACACCATTTGGATTCCGCAGAATACTTAATTTTATCAAGGAGGAATATGGAAATCCACCAATTATTATCACCGAGAATGGCATCTCAGAGCGGGGCACTGTTGATCTAAATGATACTCACAGGAGCCACTACTACGAAAAATACATCAACCAGGCGTTAAAAGGTATGAAAAATTTATCTTGAAATCTATTTAGGACCAGCACAGTTAGAGAAGAAGGCTATAAATATGTCTCAGATAAAATGTGGCTGTTTTTTCTTCTTTCTTTTGTGGAAACATTAAGAAACTAGATTTTAAGTGCAAAAAAGTTAACTTATCTCTTTTCTCTTCCCAGCTTACTTACTAGATGGTGTAGACATCCGTGGCTACACAGCTTGGTCACTGATGGACAACTTTGAGTGGGCTAAAGGCTTTTCAGAGAGATTTGGGTTTTTTTACGTGAATCATTCAGACCCTAATATTTCTCGAGTAGCTAAGAAATCTGTTTCCGACTACTCTAAAATCATAACCTGCAATGGATTCCCTCACCCTGCGTCAGGACACGAGTGCTTGAATCCTGTGGAAGGTAAATTGACACCATGGATTGTAAATAGTACGTAAAAGATAAGTACGTGGCCACCCTACTGTAAACATAAATATTTAAAGTCTATGTTTAGTTGTATCAGTTCAGCATTATGGCTATTACCAACTTGGTACTTTAAAGTCAGAACACAATATATTTGTGTGGGAAGTTTTCAGCTAATGCTAACCAGCCAGGTTGGCTCTCCATTGTCACAGTTACATTGCTAAAAACTGCAAAATGCATTAAAGTTAAGAGAAGTGGAATTCCCACCTAACAAGGTGCTTCCACAGTGCAAAAGCAAGCCTTTTAGGACACCTAAACTGGACAGCTGCAATACGATATGCAGTTCCATGATCAGAAGGAACAGGGATACTGAGGGGGTCCTAAATATCTATTCCTGCATGCAAGCATTTTGTAAGTTGAGCTTAAGCATTATAGCAGAGATGAGCTTGTGTATTGTATGAATGCAGATCATTTAGACAGATGTAAGATGTTTGCAAGTGTGTTAGTTAACAGCACTAGCTTACTAACAAATAGCTAAAATTAGCATGATAATTAGACACGGTGCAAAAATAATGCTCTGACATAGTGAAAGCTAATGTTTTCATTTTGTTAGTGTCTTTCTTACCAGCTCACAGACACCTGCTACTTAGAGGTGTATAGACATGCAAGAAACCTTGTTGTAAATAATAGCATTAAAAATGCTCAGAATACTGAGAACAAAATTCAGGGGTCCAGTTCAGTTGCTAGCAGAGTGCTAGCAACTGTAGCTGTAGTCAAACCTGCCACACCACACCAAATAAATTTAAACCTTAATGCAATTTCTGTGGAGGAATTCTAACAACAGGTAAAATAGGGCTTTGATTTACAGTTACTGCCTGCAAATGTTAAAAAATAATACGAAAACTTTGGTTTCTGTGTCTTTTCTGCAGAAACAGCACCACCAATCACTGACAACAATGCCACTGTGAGGTTCCTTGGTATGGAGCTCTCAGTCCGCAATGCTGAGACCGGACTTAATGTCACATTTGCTCTTCTGATTGTTGCAATGTTTGGAGCTGTTTGTGCATCATTTTGCTTCTTTAAGTCAAAAAATCAGATTTGTAAAAGTGGAAAAACATTCTAATTGCGGATTACTTGACGTATTATTAAAGCCCTCATATTGACAGATGCATTTTAATTGCAGGTATATAAATTATTTCTTTTCCTCTTCTATAATGTTGCTGTCACTGTCAAGGTTAAACTACAATTTTAAATCATTTTTAAAAATGATCTGTGGTCCGTTTAGTTTGAGATACCACGTAAGCGTACATGTAAAAATATGTTTGTGTGTTTTGAGACTAATTGAGTAAAATATTTCTTCATTTGCTGTTTAGTATCAGACTTTCAGACTTCTGCATAAAGGACTGACCTGCAAAAGCTTATGACCTTCTGTATTAGTCAACAAAGCCAAGTATTTTCTGTTAAAAATCATCAGTTTGTCAGCCAGAGTGATTAGTTTGTCTATATGGCTGTAAAATGGGTTTCAAAAGTGCTATTTAGAATATTATGTTGTTTCTTCAACTTTCTGTTCTCAGAAAGCTTTTTAAAAATGGGAGTGTAGGAATCACCTAATTCCTCTAGAGGTCACTGGCTGTCTAAAGTAGCCATATAAAACGTACTACGCTAGTGCTCAGCTTACTGGATTGTGGCATGTTCAGTACCAGAAAGTAAATTAATCTGACTTACTGAAAATAAATGTATACCATACTGTACAGCATCAATAATGGTGTCTGTCCAACCATCAATTGTCTTACATTATCCTTGTCAGTGTCGCAGGAGGTTGGAGCCTATCCCAGCGGCCATAGGTGCGAGAGGCAGGATACACCCTGGACAGGCCGGCAGCCTGGCACAGGGCTAACACAGAGACAGACAATCATTTGCACTCACATTCACGCTTATGGGAAATTTAGATCCGCCAATTAACCTAACCCCACCAACCACATGTGTTTGGACTGTGGGAGGAAGCTGGAGTACCCGGGGAGGAGAACATGCAAACTCCACACAGAAAGGCCCTGGTGAGGTGGAGGAATCAAACTCAGGACCTTCTTGCTATGAGGCAGTGCCCTGTCTGATTTGTTGCAAATAAAACCTATTCATAGAAAATTAAATATATGGCCAAATCCCCAAATAATTTATTTAATGATAAAACCTCACTGGAGGCCTTTTGGGGGTTTTTTAAGATCACACTCAAATATCTAACTGGCCAGTTACATTATACCAATTCAATGTTTGGGCATGGTCAAGACCTGGAGAAGAAAATGGAGAAGAAAGGTAGTTTAACTGACTTTGAATGTGGCATGGACAGCAGGATAGAGCACTGTGTCATAAAGCTCGGATCACCTCTGACTGGTTTTCTGTGCACTTAAACGGCCTCCAGTCGCCAGACTGTGCACTTCTGAAAGCGGTAAGTGTAGCTACTCAGGTATCCAGTGAATGTAGATAGAAGTGACCCGACATATCAGCTTGGATTAGTTATTTGCAGGTGAAATTGGCAAGTATTAGACCTCACAGACATCATTCAAGTCACTGTACAGGTCACTGATGGAAAGTAACCGAGTTATACTTGTGGCTAGAGCTGGGCGATATGAGATTTTTTCATATCACGATATGTTTTTTTCATTTCAGGCGATAACAATATCTATCACGATATAAGCCAAATAACTATATTTGTAAGATTTAAATGTGCCGTTGCTCACAAGTAAAATGTGAAATAATCATCAGCTTGTTTTTAAATATTTATTTCCCATAATAAGTTCAACAGGGTAGATGTACTTAAGGAACATGAGACTTTTTCAGATAAATAAAGGCAAATATTGCAAACTACACAATAGACAGCGGCTAAAGCATTTAAGTTTCAAAATAGAACAAACGAAACAGACTAAATTGTCAATTCCACTTAGAAACAAAATATTAATTCTAAAAATAAATCTTAGTTTGTTTTACAGAAGAACAGACAAAACTGACTAACTTTTGTCAATATCAAATAAACTGAGAACTAAAAGGA